CCCAACTCACGCCTCGAGATGGGGCCTGGAGGGGCAGCGGGGTGGCCATAACACCAAAAGCAAAATCCCTCCCTTTCCCCTATGGCCAAAATTAACTCAAGGACACCCACCACTCAAGAACAGTGGTTCTGGCTACATATAAGGTCTCAGAAGAGATCAGTGCTGCCACCCCACACCAGTCCTTGCCTTGAGTGGTGTAGAACTCAAAATCTGGCAGGTCAGATTTCAGATAGGGCAACATTGCTACCATGGCCAGCCTGGTCTCAGTTACACACACCAGGTATGTCTGGTTGTCAACCACCAAGTGATGGATGGATCAGATCTTATTACCAATGTTGACTAACAGCACCATGAGGCCAGGAATACTAAGAATCTGGCTACCTGAGCCCCAGGATGGAGTTACTGGGTCAGAAGTGGAGACTGCTATAAATTAGAGGTCTCTGTTCCCCTAGAATGTCTCAGCTGATACCCCCCCCCAGATGATATCCCTCAGATAAACACTACTGGGATAAGAGTTGCCATGGTTCCCATATCACATGTTCGTATCTCTCTGTTCCCTCTCACTCATCTTTCCAATTTTCCACAATCAATGGCACATATGGCTTCTTGACAATGCCACTCAGCTGGGTATTCCTCACATCTCACTCAACCCTCATCAACTTTCTATATATTCCACCATGTCAACCTAGGGATGTCCCACTAACTCCCAGGGCATCAACTTAATCTCTTCCACTCCCCCTGCCATAATCTGCACTTCGCTGCACTGCCTTATCTCACACTCAAACAGCAGACCACAGCCTATGAGATGTAGGCCTTCTGCTGTGGTTAGTTTCTAACCTTATGGTGGAGTGCTATCAGTTTTTGTATAATCACAATTTAATTACAATGATAGTTGGTATAATCACAGATTCCCACTGGTACCAGCCCTTTCAGCCTGATCTAGTCACATGGGGTTCGCTACCCTATATGTTTTTCTGTGTTCTTGAGGGCTAAGGGAAAGGCATTTTATTAAAACACGTAGAGTTTATACAATAGTTTTAGCTTGGATGTATGATGTTCTGATGCTAAAAATGGTATCAACTGTTTGTGTTTTGCTACCTGCTCTGCTTTTGGTCACATTAAATGCTTATAGAAACTCTTGAGGTAACTGTGGTTTGAGTTCTCCAGTACATTCACTAGGGTTTAAATACTAAGATATCTAGAGACAAATTTAAAAAGTTACATGCTTTAGTAGAACTTTCTGGCTGCTGGCGGGGGAAAGCAGAAGAAGGGTGTACCTACCTGCTCTGCTTTTGGTCACATTAAATGCTTATAGAAACTCTTGAGGTAACTGTGGTTTGAGTTCTCCAGTACATTCACTAGGGTTTAAATACTAAGATATCTAGAGACAAATTTAAAAAGTTACATGCTTTAGTAGAACTTTCTGGCTGCTGGCGGGGGAAAGCAGAAGAAGGGTGTACTCTGTTCATCCTACAGGAAGCAGGCTGAAAGGGGGAGCCTATTCAGTGGAGCAAAGCAGATATAAAGAAAGGAACAAGAAGATGACCCTTGGTTCTATCTCTACTTCTAACGTCCCTAGTGGTCAACAGGATAAAAGATGCAAAAAGCAGGTACTTCTGGAGTTACATCTCTAATAAAGTATGTGAATCATATACTGGATTGCAACATATCGTGTTGCTGATTTATTGCAGCACTTCAAATACATATAGAATAAATCTTTGTTCTGTTATTTATATTGCAATTGCATTATGTAGATCAGATCTTGGCACACCAAGTGAAACTTATCCCATTTTTAAAACTCATTTACCTTGTATGAAATTGAGACTAAATGAAAATACAATTCCTGTCCTGTATTTTATTAGGAAATTAACAGCTTAAAATTACAACAGTGAACATTCTTTTTAAAAAAATAGATTGAAAATCTTAACAGTTCTCCTTTGATTTCTTATAAAATATAATGCCCCGAAGTAATTCCCACTTACATTTTTAAAAAGTTTGTACACCCTTAAAAATGTACGTACTGTACACTGGAAGAATAGATAATTCTAAATATATTTCCAATTCCATTTAAGGAGGATTAGAAGGTGCTTTGTTATCTGGAAACAGAAAATGAAATGTGTACAATCAGGAACAGAAAGCTGCAACTATGAAGCGTATGTTTTGGTTCACAGATGAAGCAAAGTGATGGGATTGCCTGAGGCAGTGGATTTGGGGTACTGTTTGGGGTACCAGAGTATGATAGACTTGGGTCATAGGATGCAACCCATCTGGAAGTACTGCTGTGCAAGTCCCACTGAAATGGGCTGGATTTGCTCAAGAGCACAGTTGGGGCTGCTAGTTTTTTTTAGTAGGTCAAATTCTTTGTTGGCCATGGATTCCACAATTATGAATTCAGATCTTTCTGGATAAATACACTTTTTGCCACAAGCAGTGATGATGGCTCTTATTTTGTATGTTTTAAAAAGGTAATTAGACAAATAAGAACAAATAAATACAGTCTCTAGATGGTTGAAAGTTATAATTTGGGAGGATGACAAAAAATAAGCCTCCTTGTGGGATTCTCAGCAGCCTCTGCATGGCCACAGTTGGAAACAAGCAGCAGGGTTAGACAGACTATTGCAGAATCATCATATACTCACACAACTTTTTCATTTCAGTGAGACATGTAAATAACAAAAAAATCATCCTCTGTTCCTGATTGTGTTCCATGCTAATTCATAAAACCAGAGGTTTGCAATTAGATTTTCTAGTTTAGGTAATGAATGTTTGCAACGGTGACCTGGCTCTGTTTCTGTGAATTTACATTGAAATGCAGCAGGATCAGATCGTCAAGTTACAGTTTGGGCTTTTGGTAAGTGCAATGATACTATTCAGTTATGGTGTCCTCTTTTTGAATTGCTAGAGTTTAGTTGTGTTAAGTTATATGGAACAAAAAAACTAAATAAGAAATTAGTTCACAATTCTTCCCCTATTCCCCCCCCCCATCTGAAACAAATATAACTGCTATGATATCATAGATTCTAAAATGCCTTAAATTATCTAAGATTCTAAGTATCTCGTTTTCTGATTTTTAGGACAGGACTTACTGCAAAAGAGATTTGGTTTGAGTTCCGCCTTTACTCACATCCTTCAGTATTCATTTCCATATAAGGGAAAAGTTCAAAACGTTATCCTATGCAAAAGAGTTTCTTCTAAATCTTATACACTCAAACTATAAATTTCCAGTTAGTATTAAAGTAATATATCATCATTAAATTGTCCTATATTGACCTGTCTTTAGAAAACAATGGAAGTATTATAGGCACAGGTAGCAAAAAGAGGAGGCAAATGTATTTTCAGTGGCATCACTGTGAATCAAAAGAATGCTAATATCTCCAGATAAAACTCACAAATACCTGGCTTTTAAGGGACTCCATTTTGGAAAGCATTTAGAAATCTGCAGCTTTATTGCTATAATTTGTGCAAGGGATCTACTTAATGCTATTCAGGTTGGCATGCTGTCCTTGGATATGGAATTTCCTTTGACTTTTTCTCCATACAGCTCTTTACAGATCTACAGTAATTTTCATGAATAGATGGTAATGCTACCAAACAGATGTGCCATAGCCTTTAGAGACTACCTGCAGCTCACTTTAGGTGCTTGTTCTTCAGTAATACACTGAAGTACCATGTAAAAAGTGGATTTCTGAACCAGGAAGTGGCTCATCTGTCATCAAGGGAAGGCTGGTAGATGAAGAATTGCCAATGGAACAGGGCATACATCTACAGTGACGATATCTGGGCTGCAAACTTCCAGATAGAAAACTAGCGGCTATAAAGTTAGAACTGTGTTTGTCTTTTGCTGCTGATTAGTGGCCACTCATATTTTTGCAGCCCAGATATGGTAGCCATCCCTATTTTTTCACACTTGTAGCTTCTGAAAATTATAGTTTCTAGCCAGTTATACACAGCTTGCTTCTGCAGAAATAATGTCTCGCATGCAAGATAGGCAGCTTTGGCGGAGGGCAGAAGGCCCCTCCCAACCGTCATAATTCCAATATGCTATTCTTAAAGGCAAGAGAGACTATGTGACATGAGTACTAGGGGGATGTTTCACTTTCTTTCTGGACTTCTAGGACAATATCTGGTTTTAGCTGCAGCTCGTTTGGTTGGATCAAATCCCTGTGGACCAAAACATGGAGCCATATATTTAAGACTACATTTATGTGATAGACAAACATTTTCCTTATAGAAACTCCAAACCAAAACTTAGGTATACAGTAGATATTTGTAGAATTCAGTGTCAGTTCATAGAGTTTTGATTGCCCCCCCCATGCATTAGAAACCCCCTCTTTCTCCAGTTTCCTTTGATTTTTGAATCCTGTAGTCATAGATGGACTAGTTAGTGCTTGGTGATTCCTAGCTGAATATGAGAGCCAATTTACACTTGAGATGAAGAGAGGCAATATGAACATCCCATCCATGATCCTGATGCTATCTGGCCATACAATTTGAATTTCATTTCCCAAGGAAGCTAGAAACCTGATTTAAAAAGAAAATAAATATTAAATGAGATTTTCACAGAGCTAAATTCCAGGATATACTCTGCATAAGGAACACAAATAGCTCTTGTTGTTATCCTGCACATGGGAAATTTTTCCACAAAAGAGCCAATTGTTGTATTAACAGAGCAGGATGGGCAGAAACGTAAGATAGGCCTGCTTCCCATTCATTTAACAGCTTGGACATAACAGAGGACCTCAAACAGATGAGCGCAGAGCCATTTCCACATTCAATGAGTAGAACTTCTTTGCAATAACCAAACAAACTGAAGAGCTTGTGTATCTTAGCATGAACAAGATCTACAAATTACTGTTGGACATTATGTAATAGTGTGCCAGCCAAAGGAAGAAATGAATGTGCATCTGACTTGGCAGTACATTTGCATAATATTCAAACATGCCCTATTTCCCCAAAGCATCACTTTCGAGCTCCTGATCAACAAGATCCACCTATTCTAGGCCTGTGCTTATTACAGTACACTGAGAAATAAACTAAACCTACTTCAATACACAAGGCTATGAATTCTGAAAGCTCTTTCTGACAAATACACCCAGGATAGTAATAAATACTACAGAATATAAATTATTTGGCAGCAATATAATTGCTTTTTTTTTAAAGTTCCTATTCAATATTTCAATGTCCCAATTGCATTACAATATTATACAAAAGAAATCTATATTCTCTTTCTTTACAAACAATACAGTTTTAGGTTAAAGCACTAATTCTTCCCCGAAGAAAAACAAATTCTTGTTTTAAATGTGGTAGATCTTGCAATATTGTGTAGAATAAACAATGACAATGGAGGGTGGAAGAAGAATTATTCAGTGTATGCTCTTGCCATTCTATAGAATGACAATTTATATACATTGTCTTTTAGGACCTAACGAGTAAAACTATATCACTATCAGCAGAGTCATAAACAGAATCCACACACAACTAAGTTCAAGTATCATTCTTACTGAAGGGCCATTAGATGCACTCAGCCAAGCAAAGTTGTGGCCTTTTCAAACCATTTCAATCATGTTTGACCATGCAAGATCTCAGAATGAGGTCTGCAGCAGCAGCACAAGAACCTGGGCACGTTCACCGATTGTCTTTTTGCTAATATTAGGGTCAATTACTCTTTTCATCTTTCAATATTGTGATAGATTGTAGCAGAATTATTTACCTAAAGGAAAGAAATTAGAGCATATGAATGTATCACATGAATAAAGAATAACAATACAGTGTAGGTTTTAAGGTTTGGTAGTTGTCTGAATTATTCTCTTTGGAAGAACATATATGAGGACAGTAAAATTAGCTTAATAGTAGTGTTTCATGCTTGTATGGCTGATTATGAGTTTAAATTTGTCCCCAGCCCCCATCAAGATTCAAAGATTGAGTGTCAATTTAATGAAAGGAAACAGATTTCTGCCGCATCAGGAGCCCTCGTCTTGCAGCGCCCGTGGAACCGTCAGTTGTTCATAGGTTGGGAGAGTGCTGGGGGAGAGTAGGTTAGCACTGACATCACTGCTAGGAGATGCTTTGGTGCTGCCTTGGCTTCCTTGCTGGCTGGAAAGCAGGCGGTGCAGCAAGTCTGTGATGAGGTTCAGCTTCTGGTCTATTTGGACTACCTGCAAAGACAACCAAAACAACAGTCAGAATTTAGGTGAACTTTCAGGCAGTGTTTGAAAGCCAGACTGAGCACCAATACATCTGTCGGGTTGGATTTTGAGGCAGAAGTCCAAGGCCCCACGCAGCAGAATAAGTAGCAGGAACCCACAGAGAGCAGACCTGGCTCCACACCACCTCAAGAAAGGAGGCCCCTAAGACCATTACACGGAGCGTCTCTGGTTGCAGAACTGTACGGGGAACAGATATTTCTTGGATAAACATTCTGTTCCTCCCAAACTTAAAGGTAAAAAGATGAGTTAGTAATATAATACAGGCTTCCTGTAGGAATTCCCTGTGAGATGCTTGTGTTACTTTCCTGGCAGGTCAGCATGACTCCAACGGGCACGGCCCAGTGGAGATGCTTTGGAGTAATGAGGGAATGAAGCTGCTGAACTGGCCACGGGCATGTGTGAAGCTGACCTGTCCAAGGGAAAAAGAAGAAATTCCCTCTGCAGCTGGTCCTGAATTTGTATGTTCTCCCCAAATATTGAGCAGGTTGAGGACAGCAGAGGAGAGAAAAGAAAAAGCAGCTGAGGAAGCCTGTATAAAATGAAGACAATAAGTACCCCTGGAGAGCGACAGGAAAAGAGGGGGTACTCCTGGATATTTTACAATGGCATCCCCCTCCTTACTTGACAGGAATGCCCCACAATGGCAGAAAGTAAGAGCGGAAACAGGGTTTATGCTATTTTTACAGTGAGAGTCAGAGATGAATCCCAGAATTTTGGCAATCACCTTTAAGCCTGGGTTGGAACACCTTTAGCTAAGAATCTCTCTTTTGTAAATGATGTCATGAGAACAAGGGGGTCACCAGCAGTGTCAATGCCCGAAAAAAACGAAAAACAAAAAGCCACACTGTCATCTGGAAGACCTCTTAGACTTGATGCTTGGTTGGCCTTGAGAGTGTGCCCATTTTAAAATGTGGAGCTCCAGGCCTGGAGCACATAGCTGAAATGCCAGAACAAAAGCTGGCATGAGGGGGAAAGCTGACCTCTAGCTATCTACATACAGTACCCAAACAAATGATGGTAATTGGGAAATGAAAGCGAGAGAGAGGGAGACTGCTGGGAAGGCTGATTTTTTTGGGATCCCAGCAATAAGAGATTTGTGGAACTTGAGCAACTCAATAGCAGTACGGGTAATATCTCTAGCCCCTGTTGCCTTGCTTTGTTCTTCAAGGATAAGAGAGCATGGGAGAATAAGCTGCACCAAGGCTTACTTGGCATGAGACATCCTACCCCTACATTTCACTAAAACTGTACTAGCTGGCAGGGCAGAATACAAAGCCTTATTAATTCTTTGCCCACTCTCAATGGAAAGGATGCCTTTTGTTTCAAAATGGCTGTGGTGGACAATATAGAATAAGGGCACCTAATGTTCTCATGCTCGGATTTAGCTTCTGCTTAATTCTAGGAATAATAGGAACCTAAAATGAAAAGGAGACAGCACACTGAGATGCTAAAAATGACAGCAATTTGACCAAAAAAAAAAAAAAGAGTCAGAAATAATTAAACAGATGAGGTATAGGCAATCAGGAGAAAAGACTCCATCTGACTTTCAACACAATCCCCAAAGGTATAAGATCATCTTGTGATGTTTCCTCCCATGTAAACTAGTCAAAACTTAGTCAAATAAGCACATATACAAACCTTTCCCCAGCCCCCAGCTGAAGTGCATAAAACAGAGAAACCTACCAATTGTTGTTCCCATGGTAGGAAGTGGTTAAAAAAACCCTTTGTGACCTGCCTGAATGAATGAAGTGAAGACAATGTTCCTGGCCTTTCAACCCATGATTGGGTTTAAATATGGCCCTCTCCACTAAAAAAATTAGTAGCTGATCACAGACCCAGATTATAGGCCTTAGTCTAGAAATCAGTACCCCAGCCCTCTTCTTCCCCCTGACCCCTGACCCATAAGAGGTGCTGAAGCCAGCAGTAAACCAGCTTCATAGGAATAAATCTCTCCATGTCTGGTTATCGTCCAAGCATCATTCTGGACAGTAAAAGATAATAAGTCTGAGCAAAATGTCAACAAACCTGGAGAATTTCAAGTGCAGTTCAAATGTTTTTCAAGCGAGAGAGAATACTGTTTTTGTCAAATGATTTGGACACTTGCTGGGAAGCAGATACAGAAACCACAAAAATACAAGGTGCTGGAGATGTGTTGCAGCTGGGTCTCTCTCCCCCACAATGCCAAACGAAGATCGCAGTCCTCAAGCCACTTCGCTCCAGAATAAGTGGCGAGAGCATCGCAAACAAAATACCTGAGAGAGATTGTGTTCGCTACTTGTCACACAGACATTACCTGTACTGTAAAAGTGAATTTACTTGCTTGGTGGGAAAAGCATTGCAAGAGAAATCCAAGACAGGGCATATTAGATACTTTTCGAAAAAGGAGAACTATTAACTGAAGTCTTATGAACCTAGGGCAATTAGATCTAGGCTACAAAAATCCAGATAACTACTAGAGGACAGCAAAGAGGTATTAGCTGCTCTTCAACGGTCATACAAATTTTTGCAGCCCAGATCTGATCATGGAATAGCTCTTGGAAAGCACAGAAAGGGACAAACAAGCTTTCACAGTACCTCTTTAATTTTATTTATTAGACTTATATCCCAACTTTCCTTCAGATGCCCAAGGAAGGGTACAGAGCACTCCCCCTTCTCATTTTCCTTTGCAACAACAACTCTGTGAGGTAGATCAGGCTGTATTAGTCACCTAATGAACTTCAGTGGTTGAGGGTGAAACATGAACCATCTAAAAACCTTCTTCGAATTTTGCATTCACAGCCTCATAGCCAATTTGAAAGGATAGATTCTGTTCAAATCTCTGCTATGAAGTGACTGGTTGTTGGTCTTACACTGCACATGTGCGCACACATGCACACACAACATTCTGCAAATTGTCCCTTAGTTCCGCATATACTGAAGACCAAACAGTAAGCTGTTCATAGTTGTGTGGATCCTTTGGATAGCTTTTTCTTTACAAATGAAATCTGAAACCATACTTTTCAGAAACAACAGGATTTTAGTCCCTTTCTAATCAAAAGTAACTTGCAAATTGCTTTTCTTTACCAGGACAAAAATACCAAAAATGTACAAATATTGTACTAAAATGTGCAGTATGATTTCCTTGGAAAGATAGGAAGAGATTGTGCAAAAAAATGGATGAAAAGGAGAGTGTTACTTTGACCCCCCCGTCTTCACTTTCTTTTGGCAATCAGAAAGTACTGATTGTCCACACACTGTTTTAAGATAACTGAGTCTCCCTGTTGTTTTAGTATCAGAAGTTCTTTAATATAAGATCTGAAGTAATGCAGTATTATTAATCACTTCCATTGGTGGCCTTGGAGCCAAATCCAGTATTATATATATACACACATACATACATACGTACACACACACACACTCCAATAAAAATTGTCATCACTGTTCCTCTTTTGCACTCTGCAACTTCAAAAATTGTTTTTAGTTCAAAGAAAACAAAAGCAAAATGTCATGTAAACACCCACAAGTTTATACACAATGCGCATTTGGCCACTGTAACACAGCAGATGTATACTTTAATCAATAAGTAATTGTACCATAATATGCAATTTAGTAGGCAAGGGCTATAGGCAATCTTAAGAAGGTAGCCTTCTGCCTATAAAACTTCATACTAAAGTAAATGCATTTATCTTTAATACTGCAGTGTAGTCTATGTTGGTTTATTGCAAATGTGGCAACTAGGCTTCTGTAAGTGACAAAATGTGTGTCTGTGTTGAAAGATCAGTACTGATTGCCAGCTGCTTTCCAGGCACGCTTCAAGGTATTGGTTTTTCATCTTTAAAATCCATGATGAATTAGGCCCTGGCTCTCAGGGAAACCACTTACCTTGCTATGAGCCTGCCTGAACACTAAGTTCTGCAAAGGAAGCCTTTTTAATGAGGCCTCCAGTTTCAGAGGCCTGTTGGCCCAGAGGAGAGAGCTTCTTCTGTCTTGCTCCCAGGCAATGAAATGTATTATTTCAGGAATTGTTCTTAGCATGATCCACTCTGCCTTTGGGAAAGAAGTCAAAGACAACCTTTTTCAGCCAAATCTTTTGAGATGAATTATTATGACCTTACTGTACCTGGATTACAATGGTTTTGGGTGCTGTGTGGCTGGGTTTTAACAGTTTAATAAATGGCTTTGTTTTGTATAGTAACTATTTTGGCACTCTATGGGGTAGAAAGCTTGTCTTTTAATTGGAAAAAAAAGAATCATTGTTTTGTTTATTTATTAGATTTCTATCTCCTCAGATCAGTGTTTCTCAACCTTGGCAACTTTAAGATGAGTGGACTTCAACTCCCAGAATTCCCCCGCCCGCCATGCTGGGCTATGGAATTCTGGGAGATGAAGTCCATTCATCTTAAAGTTGCCAAGGTTGAGAAACACTGCTTTAGATTTATATCTGTTACTTTATTGAGTAGGTTTTTATCTCCTTTCCTTCAGGAAGTCAAGATAATGAACACAGCACACACTGCTACTGTGTCTCCCCAAACTTCAGGACTGTGGGGTATGTCAGGCTGAGCTTCTGCGGCTGAGGGTGACTAGCCCCTGGGTTTCCCTGCTACACCCTGAAATGCTGCAGAAGGTTTCTTTTCTTTTCTTTTCTTTTCTTTTCTTTTCTTTTCTTTTCTTTTCTTTTGTACCATTTGCCACAATGATGCAACTTGCATCTCACTTATTCATTTAATGATCTTTTAGTGCTAGAAAACATTAACGTCTGGATACACAGCTTATTTTAAGAACAGAAGAGAGCACTCTATTGTGGCAAAAGCTACAGAAAGTGAAGCGGTGCCATATTCTTTAAACTAAATTAATTCCTGATAGGTTGCAACTGAATATGCACTTAGCATGGAACTAAGCTCCACTGAAATCAGTAAGGCTTACTTCTGAACAAATATGCATAGGATACTTTGTAGCGTACCTTAGGTTTA